GAAATGGATGGGCATCAGCTTCGGCCAAGGAGGTCTCGTTTTCCTTTTTGATTCCAGTATTGGACACTAGTGCAATGATTGTGATACCTCAGGTTCAGATCATCAGCTCTCATCATCATTCCAAAGCTGATCATGTGCATCCATCAAGGCTTCAAAAATGATTCTACAGGTCCATCACAACTACATTGATCAATATGACTCGACAGCTTCAGCCATGCAGAAATGCTCATATCACAGATATCATGTTTTACTTAAATTTAAATTTAGTTTATCAAGGAGATCTTGCACCTCCTTAAAGAGTCGTTGCGTCCATAATCTCCAATCATTTTTCCAGGGAAGCTCAATTGACTCAATCTACATTTGAATCCTCATCCTCTTTGGATTTTTCGGCTTGCTCTCCAGCATCAATAGGTGATGTAGGAGAATATGGGGTTACAGCAGGACCTGATCAGGAGGCATGATGATGAACATATTGCACAGTGCATGGTTGACATGAGATGCTTTCAATCCACAGTCACAGAAAACTCCAGCCTGTGTAGATCATTCCTTCATCCAGGAAATGTTCTCAAGTAGCTTGTAGAAGGCGAGGTGGCAGGCGCTGGGGTACTTGGAGGGGGCATTGGAAAGGGCATTGGAGAAGCACCTGGAGGGTCATGAGAACTTGGAGGGGCACCTGGAATAGGTGCTGGAGGAGGTGTATTTGGAGGTGGTAAAGGTTGCGATTGGGCATTGACATGAGGTGTCAATGCCTGGATCACCTGGTTTTGTAGCCTGATCAGCTCCAAAACACGGTCAATCTCCTCATGTCCAGGCCTCCTGCGAGAGGAACTTGATTGTCCAGCTCCCATAGCAACAGCAAGAAAAAATATCGAGCACTGAAACAGGAGCTAGAAAGCCAAAGCAGCTTCAGTTGCAAAATCCATTCTCAACACTGCAATTGCCATGCAAAACAATTTCAACATTCCAAATTCCAGACAAAACTTCTCAAATCCAGAATTCCAACCCAACATTAAACATTAAAGCCACATCCTATGAAAGTCTATAAGCCATTTTTGAAATCCACCCAGGCAGTAAACTCTCAAGTTCCAAATGTCAGGAGATCTTGCACCTCCTTAAGACAGAAAAGTGGAAAGACTATTTCCTATTTTCCTATTGAGAACTCTCAGGAGATTTTACACCTCCTTGCAACATGCAACAGAAATCAGCAGCCATTTTTTTTGCAATTTCATCCAATCTAATCCACATCCTGTCCAACCTTCCACTTTCGAATTTCCTCATTCAAAAATTCAATCACAGATTGTTCAGTAGCACCATTGTGCAAATCAGCAATGCATTTCTGGGCCAAATCCAAGCCAACTTCTCTTGAAATTTTGTTCAAAGTGAAAGATTTGATTTGTTTCTTGTCTCCAAAATTTCGTCTGACACCTAAAGCACCATACTTTCGACTGCCTTTGGCAGGATAATCTTCCAAGCGATATTCAGGAGATGCCAAGTCAACAGCAGCAGGTTCAGGATCAGCAACTGCAACAGCCGGCCGAGCTTCAACATCCTCTTCTTCAGAAGTGCCAAGTACTGCTTCACATGCAGCACGCTTTTTCAAGATTGCAGCAGGCCTTTTCAAGACTGCAGCAGGCCTTTTCAAGACTGCAGCAGGCCTTTTCAAGACTGCAGCAGGCTTTTTCCCACCTGCAGATTGCCTATAGATCTTCAAAGATTCATTGGGAATTTCAGATTCAAATTTGTTTTCACCAAAAGCAGCAATGGCGAAGCCATTTGGTCCTTCACTCATAGTAGCTTTCTCCACCTTGCTATCCACAAAGCGACATACCACCATGGCAGTAGAATCGATCCAGGTTCCAACACTCACAGGCTTCTTAGGACTCGCTTGGCTCTCTTCACTCGACACTTCTATCAATTGATGCTCTTGGCTATCCAATGTTTCTGAGCTGTGGCCTGGAGGAAATTTTTGCAAAAGTGGTTCATTCACAGGCAACTGTGGGATGGAGCTCGCATTGGAACTTTGTCTCATGAGCCTTCGCTTGGCAATGGCTTTCTGAACAAACTTGCCTTTCTGCCGGTTCCCATGGAATTCTGAGCACTCCAGATAGATCTTCACAAGCTTACCCATCCAAGGCTCATATTTCTTACTTGAAATTGACCATTTTGCTTTTGTTCTGATGTGTTGCACACATTCGACAATTGCAGAAGACCACTTCTTCGCTTCGTCACTCAAAAGTGCGAGGGTTGACTTTCAAGGCAGCTTCCTTCAAGCAGTCTTTGGATGGTCGAATTGTTTTCTGGAACATCAAGCCCAGAAATTTTCGATAATGCTTGCAAACTTGATCAATTTCAACATCCAAGTACTCCTTGGGATCCAAACAAGCCACCTCTGCTTTCAAACATGTGCAAAGGTCTTGAACAGAAGCAGTGTTCTTAGCTCTATTCATCTTGAGAAATCAACTGCAGATGCGATGCAGAAACAGTACATGCAGGAAATCAAAACACCAAAAGGAGATCTTGCATCTCCTTGAAGCAACCTCCAAAGGTTGGTCTTGATGCAATGATGATGTCAAAGATGTATCTAAAAACAGTGAAAAAATCCTCCTTAAAAAAAGATTAAGGAGGAATTTTCAAAAAAAAACACCTTAATTAAGGAGAATTCCTCCTTAATTAAGGTGGAATTCCTTTAAAAAAAATTCCTTAAATTAAATAAGGAGGAATGGAAGTTCTGGGTTGCTCCAGGGCAAGTCAAATCGCAATTTTACCTCAGTTTTTGCCGATCGACCCTCATTTCGTGCGAAAGGGTTGCCCCGGGACAAGTCAAATCGCAATTTTACCTCAGTTTTTGCCGATCGACCCTCATTTCGTGCGAAAGGGTTGACGTTTCGTGACTCGCCGCCGGCACCACCCTCGGCCTTAAGAGAGAAAGATAAAAAGAAGGCGTGAGAGAGAAGGTGAGCAGGTGTGAAGATAAGAAGATGTGAAGATGAGCAGATGTGAAGATGAGCAGATGTGAAGATGAGCATATGTGAAGATGAGCAGATGTGAAGATGAGCAGATGTGAAGATGGGAAGGTGTGAAGATGAGCAGATTTGAAGATGAGAAGATGTGAAGATGGGAAGGTGTGAAGATGAGCAGATGTGAAGATGAGCAGATGTGAAGATGAGCAGATGTGAAGATGAGCAGATGTGAAGATGAGAAGATGTGAAGATGGGAAGGTGTGAAGATGAGCAGATGTGAAGATGGGAAGGTGTGAAGATGAGCAGATGTGAAGATGAGCAGAAGTGAAGATGAGAAGGTGTGAAGATGAGCAGATGTGAAGATGAGAAGGTGTGAAGATGGGAAGGCGTGAAGATGAGCAGATGTGAAGATGGGAAGGTGTGAAGATGAGCAGATGTGAAGATGGGAACGTGTGAAGATGAGAGGATGTGAAGATGAGCGGATGTGAAGATGAGAGGATGTGAAGATGAGAGGATGTAAAGATGAAAAGATGTGAAGATGGGAAGGTGTGAAGATGAGAGGATGTGAAGATGAGCAGATGTGAAGATGAGAGGATGTGAAGATGAGAGGATGTAAAGATGAAAAGATGTGAAGATGAGAGGATGTGAAGATGAGATGTGAAGATGAGAGGATGTGAAGATGAGATGTGAAGATGAGAGGATGTGAAGATGAGATGTGAAGATGAGAAGATGTTTGACAGACCCCCACTATTGGAAGAACCCTGCGCACAGACGCTCTCGGGAAAAAGCTTTTTTCGTATTTTTTAGAGGAAAGTACTGGTAGTCTTCCAACCCTCCTCTTTGGCAGGGTCTATGTCAGATCAATTCTGTTGGCTGAGGGATGGTCAACGCGGTGAGCCTCACTCAAGGTTGCCATGGCCAGGTGAAACGCCCCCCAATGGGATGGCAGCCTTAACCTTCGCGGAGCAGGCTTTGAAGAAGGCTGGCTGGCAGCTGGCATAGCTGGATCCGTTTGCAGCGGTTCAATGCTTGGAGATACTATACCAATGGGAATTTAAGGATCCTAAAATGGAGGTACCTACCATGTATAAGGCCTATATAAGGATATATAAGGCCTATGTAAGTGAATATCCCCAGAAAATATGGCCTTATATGGTACAGTACCTCTATTTTAGGATCCTGAAATTCCCATTGACTATAGCAATGGGGTTGTAGATTTTCTAGGTCTCAAGATTCTATGATGTATCAAAAGTTGCTAAGGGTTGCTGAAGGGTTTCCGGTCAGGTGCTTGGCTTCCAAACATCACGACATGTTATGACATTCAGACGCCACCACGCTACAGATATCCCCACACATTGCACAGCATGCAAATGTCAGATCATGGGGCATCATGGACCCCAAGTTGAGCAGACAACTGAATAGAAATGCAGAAAAAATCAGAAAGCACTAGCACAAGATTTCTGTTTTCCCCTTCACATTCTCTCAAATACTTTGGTGTAAGCAGTACGCACTGGCAGCAACGCTGGCCTCTTGTTGGCGTCATCGTTGCCATGATCCAAGACGCTGTTGATGCTACGGTACTTTGATTGTGTTGGAGTTGGAAGCTGCTTGGTCAATCTATGGCATATTACATGAAGTAGGACTTACATGCATAGCTTGCATAGACCTTACATACACCTTACAGACCGTACATAACCTGACACGTAGCTTCCTTGCAGAATACATGGCCAAGAGACCTGGGAGATGATGTTTTTGTTCCCAGGCGCATTTGCCCGGCCTCCCCTATTGCATTGTGTTGCATTCGATTTGTGTAATTTAAAATCATTTGCCAATTGTCAACCCTATTTGAGAAAAAGGGGTATAATATTCCTACGAAATCATATTGAAATATATGGGGATTGTCCATCACCAGGTTTGATTGCTGGATTGTATTGAGCCTCCTTATTAAAGGGAAGGTGTTTTCGCACTTTTGAATCATTGCATTGGCTGCAGATGGCTGCAGGTTGCTTTCAGTCGAGTGTTTTCAGCCCAGGTTACCCAATGAAGACCACAGCTGCCGGCGGCAAATCCCGGTCGACCGATTGCAAATTATATAATTGAATGGACCGTGGCAATTGGATGAAACAGACCTGGCCAAAAGGAGTGAAGCAGGGCATTTTCAGACCAGAAGTGACGAAGCCTTCTGATACGATTGCAGATGTTATGATACCAAGACGTACACAGAGCTTTGGAATGGGGAAGCCGTGCTCAAACAACCTGAATCATTTGCATCATTCCGCATTTTGAGGCTTCCATGGCTGGTAATGGGTTGCCTGCTGGCGGCTTTGGCATGCTCTCTGTGGATGCTCAGGTTGGTCCGGCATAAAAAGGATTAAAAAGGCATAAGAAATTGAAAGCGAGAGAAGACCAACAGCAAGCATGAGTTTTCAAAACCAGGTCAACTGCAAGATGCCCGAAATAGGTCTACACAAGAGGAGGAAGCAGAGGGAGAGCAAATATAATATAAACAATTAAAGCAGCACCACAGCACCGGCTGAACCCTACTGCATCAAGCAAGATAAGGCTTCAGGAAGCAAGAAACCAATCTTCTACTTGTAGAGAGAGCCAGGGAAGCGACGGTGCTTGGGGAGGAACAACAGTAGTGATCCCTACGTGTGCAATCTCTCACATTTGACAACTGGCTTCACAACGCTTTCAATTGTAGATGTGTCGGTCCGGGCTGGCCAGTGACTTGATGCTGTTTGAGTTGCCAGCAGAGCATAGCAACCAGAGCACCAAAGCCACACCACTGCAGAGAGTCTTGCTGAAGCTAGTCAGTGCCACCACACTGACCTCAGAGTTTCAATCTGATAACTGGAAGCCGATCTCGCGAGGAAGCACCTGCCAGATGCTGGGACGGAGACACTCGAACAGGATGCAGGGGAGCATTGGAGAAGCTGTTGCATATGTGACTTGTTTGTTTGTTGGCACTACATGGCTTCCTCTTTGGGGGCGTGCTTTTGCACACATCATAGCCATCGCGATTCATCTTCGTCAGCCACATGCTCTTCCTTATGCCAAAACCCAATCGCTGTTGCCCATCGAATCATCATCATCATCATCCTCCTCCTCCTCCATCATCATCATCATCATCAGCAAGCATCATCAGCATCAGCATCTTCTCTATTTTCTTCTTCTTCGTCTTCTTCTTCTCTTTATTCTTCATTTCTCATGGGCCGATTCTTGCAAGACCCAGCCCAAAAGGAATGCTTTCTTTGCGCCATCCTTTTCGTCAGCTGTCAAAACTAGATAGATCTATTTCTACCTATATCCACATATCCACCTATATCCACCTATATCCACCTATATCTACCTATATCTACCTATATCTACCTATATCTACCTATATCTACCTATATCTACCTATATCTACCTATATCTACCTATATCTGCCTATATCTACCTATATCTACCTATATCTACCTGTATCTACCTATATCTACTTATCTATCCTATCCCTATCCTATCCATTATCCTATCCCTATCCCTATCCCTATCCTATATTATCCTATCCCTATCCTATCCATTATCCTATCCCTCTCCTATCCCTATCCTATCCCTATCCTATCCTTATCCTATCCCTATCCTATCCCTATCCTATCCCTATCCTATCCCTATCCTATCCCTATCCTATCCCTATCCTATCCATTATCCTATCCCTCTCCTATCCCTATCCTATCCCTATCCTATCCCTATCCTATCCCTATCCCATCCCTATCCCATCCCTATCCTATCCATCCATCCATCCATCCATTTATCTATACAATACAAGAAAATCAAGCAATTAGTAGGAGGTGGGAACTGAAGATGGCAGCCGCGAACTTTGAGCTGGCAGGAGCCGAAAGGCCAAGAGGACCATCTTGCCCAACAGGTGCGACAAAGGGGGCCAGGTGTGGGATTAAGAATGGACACAATGGATAGTCGATATGAATGATGTAATTTGCTTGGTTGAGACTTGCAGAACTCTTTGTTTCGGTAAGATTTTCTTAACACATGTTAGAATTCTCCTCTTTCTGTAGACGTTTTCCTAATGTTATCTTCAACTATCTCCAGTTTCTCTCATTTGATCATTTGAATAAGCCCAGCCAGTTCTGTGCTTGTGGCTCCCCTTTATTCAAGATCCTTTGGCTGACCGGACGCTTCGGAGATTCATGATTTTGCTCAGGATCAAAGTCAAAAGCTCCACAGCTGCACTGGAATGATTGGCATCAGTGGAATGGTTTTGGATGGTTTTGGAACCGTGTAATGTGCGGAAACAAGAGGGCAGGTGAAGCTTTGGAATGTGGAAGATCTCTTGGTTCATGGAACTTACTGATACTATTTGCTTCTCTGATTCTCTGTGTTGCCATCACCCAAGTGGCTGAGCCACAGCGTACCAATCCCACACCAGACATCCACACGTCCATGCGAGGGTGCTATGGCGAGCTCAGGTCCACCGAGCCCACCTGCGAGCCAGAAGTCATCTCTGACTCTTGGACTTCTGTTGGTTTACAGTAATCACTGAGTGTACTATTTCAGTGCCAATTATATAGATACAATACAATATTAAACTATATTAAATTAAATTAAAATATGTTATGTTATATGTTATTATATTATATGATGTTATATTAAATTAAATTATATTATGTTAAAATACATATTTTGTATCATATTATATTATATTATTGGAAATTATATTATATTATATCATAGCAAATTATATTGTAATATATTATATGAGTTTATATTATGTTATTTTATGTTGTGTTATGTCATGTTATATTATATTATAGTATATGTTTATTATACCATAACATATTTTATTATATTACATTATATTATATTACATTATATTATATTATATTATATTACAGTATATTATATTACAGTATATTATATTACATTATATTATTTTAAATTATATTATATTATATCATAACACATTATATTGTAATATATTATATGAGTTTATATTATGTTATTTTATGTTGTGTTATGTCATGTTATATTATATTTTAATATATTTTTATTATACCATAACAAATTATATTATTACATTATATTATTACATTATATTATTACATTATATTATATTATATTATATTATATTACAGTATATTATATTACAGTATATTATATTATATTACAGTATATTATATTATATTATATTATATTATATTATGGCATATTATATTATATTAAATTAAATTATATTATATTATATTTTATTACATTATATGATGTTATATTAAATTAAATCATATTTTTTTTAAATTATATTAAATTATATTTTTTTTTTATATCATATTATATCATTTTAAACTAAATTATATTATATCATAACAAATTATATTGTAATATATTATATGAGATTATATTATGTTATTTATGTTGTGTTATGTCATGTTATACTATATTATATTATATTGTATTGTATTGTATTGATGGTATTGGATTCCGGGAACATTTCAGACACATGACATTGAACTCGTCCAAGCTTGTGCTAGGGCACCCTGGTCATGTTTAATTCCAAAGCTGCAAAACATTCCGCTGGACTTTGCTTGCCAAAATCCTTTCCACAGTCGGGCTGCAGAAGCTGGTGTTCGCCATATGACCAGACGCAAAGACCTAGGGTGGGATGGACTGGAGGCGAAACTCTTTTTTTTGAAGGGTTTTAACAATGTATAACAATGTTAAATATGGCACAGGTGGAATCTGTCTTTGCCACTGCAGGATTGTACTGCAGAGAGCCAGCCAGAGCCACCGGTGACCGCGCCTGCACCCGGCGAGCGGTCTCGAATGCCAAATTTTCACGGCCTCGAGTGCCTTGGACCCACACACCTTCTGGTGGTTTGTGGCTGGAGGGGTGAAGAAACCTTGGCAAAATAATTCGGTTTCTTTGAGAATTGAATTACCTTTCACTCCATTGATTAATTAATCATGAATTTCCCATTAAAAGTGCATTTGCATGGTATACCGGTATACCGTATATCCCGTGTATCTATTTTCAGACACACTGTGACATGCAAGGTACCAGCTTTTTCTGCCAACAACTTGGCGAGGAGAATCTGGTCAGAATCTTCTTGGCAAATGGCGCTAGAGTTAGCGCGGGTACTTCTCGGAGGTTTGAGGAATGGGGAGGAGGTTCTACTTCAATGAGACGTGGTAAACCTGGTAAACCCAAGAGTAAATTCAGTAATTAATCCCTTCCCCCAAAAAAAAACACACCCTCGAAACCATGCTTTAGTAGGGGATTTACAAGGATTTACACATCGTTTGGGACCATGTAGTAGGGGTCTTTAATATTAGGATGGGATTGGTAAACCCAGGGGTGTGGCTTAGGACTTTCCCCGTGGTGGTTTTCCTGCACGGAGCCGGAGATGGCAAATTCAGTGTGGTGATGCCCAGGGGAGGGTAGAGATGATGATGGGAATGATGGCCATCTAATAGTAATCAATGGCGTATTATAATAATAGTGTAGTAGTAGTGTAATAATAGTGTAATAATAGTGTAATTAGTAGTGTAGTAATAATGTAATAATAGTATATATCAATGGCAATCTAATAATTAATATAGTAATCTAATAGCGTAATTATATATACACTACACATATACGTATGCACACACAAAGATGATAATGATTGATTGGATTGGAGTGGATTGGATTTGATTGGGTTGATTGATGATTGATTGATGACTGATTGATGATTGATTGATGATTGACGTTGGATGATCGATGATGATCAATAGATACTTAAAAAGTAGTGATGCCATTGGAATATATATATATATATATTTATAATATAATATATATAATAATATAATATAATATAAAATAAAATAATATAATATAATATAATATAATATATATATATATAAGTGTGTGTGCAGTATTATATAATACATGGGAATGATCAACGATCAACTAGCTCTTGCGAACTTTTCTCTGCCATCGCCATGATCCGCGAGGTCATGAATTCTCAAAGCTTACCACGTCTGCTGACGAGGCCATTTCAAATTTCGGGCCCGACTGGCTGTGTGGATGGCCGCAGACCACCTGGAGGTTGAAGAAAATTGAGATTTACCCTTTGGTAATTTAATATAGCAATTTATAGTGGATTTACCTATTGCAAATGGTGATTTTCCATAGTTATGCTAGTTTACCAGAGGGTATAATAGAATTATGGCAGTGCAGTTGCTGATTATACACATTTTTGGTAATTGGACTCTTCTAGGCATGATCGCTGGCTGAATGAACATTTTTTTGTTGCATGGTTTGCCCCACGGCATTACCTCTCAACCCATATTGTAACACAATGTTCCCTGATGGCACTTTCATTTTCAAAGCTTGGGAAGTCTTTCCAGCAATCACATGCCTGAAAAAGGGTGGCAAAGTTTTTTCCCACCATCAACCCACCATCAGTTCCATCCCATCAGGAAAACTTGGATACCCGCTGGAAAGTCAGTAGGTGGGTGTTGGTGTCATCGAAAAGGTGGTCTTGTTCTCTGGCCATGAGGAATCAATCGACCTGCTTTGACCCACGGCATTGCTGGTGCCTTCCTTCTGAATACGAAAGGACTGGGATAGAGAATGGGTTGGACGAGTCTAATTAGGGTACTGTAGATGTTATATATATATACACACTATATTTTATTATATTATATATTTATTATTTATATTTTATCATATCATATCATATTATATTTTACTATATTATACTATTTTATATTACATGTTCTTATATTATATATTAAATCATATTACATATTAGTATATTCTTATTCTTATTCTTATTATATATATATATGGAAACATGTTATTTATTATTGTTATTATTATCATCATATATATATATGTATATTATGGTACTCTTAGAACATTTGGAACAGGCAGACCCATTTGCATCAACAACATGGATGAAAAGACATCCACAAGGTGCAATCTCACTATGGATCAAATCCAGAAGCAGCTGCAGGGCAACTGCCAAGAAGGAAGCCCCGGAGACGTCACCAGACGCCTTCTTGGACGAGGAGGACCGAGCGCGCCGCGTGCTTGCGATGAGCGTCCATTGGCCAACCGGTTTTCCGTTCAGGAAGATTTGCGGAGCCCGATGGCCGCCTGTGATTTTGCAGATCGTTTTGAAGCAATCACAGCACCTCGGGCAGGGACTATGAACGCAGTGTGTATGGACTGAAATGACAAGTGACCATGGTTAACATGTGTTGTATAATGTCATTTGGTATATTACTGTATATGCCACACAGACACGCACGCACACACACATATATATATATATATATATAGGTATAGAGATATGGAATAGTCCAATAATGTCCTATATATATATATATTCCACTGAAATCCAATGAATTTTAAGTGATTTTGTGAATAATTATGCGGTCATGACCTGAATCCATATGCCATTTTTTATGGCATAATATGACCATGGCATCATGGTGGGAGCACCGAGGTGATGCCACAAGGCTGGAGCGTTGGAGATCCCGTCGGCTGGACGGGAGAGCGCTTATCCAAGGCGATCTGGGATTGAATCTCATGGCGGGTCACAGATGTCTAGAGTTAGTGTTAAGGAAGAAATGATGAAATATGATGGAATTCGATAATTATAGTATATTATAGTAATCTTCTGGTAGCAACATCTATATTCAACAAAACTACAGTTGTGTCATCTGGAATACTGTAGTTTTTTGAATATAGATGTTGCTACCAGAAAAAAATCGTCAAGTGCCGCAAGTTCTTCGCTCCAGGTGCACCTTTTGACGAAACACGTGCTTGAGAAGTACCACGGAGACCCCGTGCCCCAGATTTGGAAGGGGAAAGTCGTTTTCATCATGAAATTACCATGAAATAACCATGAAATAACCATGAAATAACCATGAAAAATGGGGAACATATTGGGACAATGATATAACATGATTTTCAAGAAGACAGCATCAAGGCAAAATATGGGACTCGGGTGCCTCATCCACCGTCCAAATTCTGCTGCCCTGCTCTCCAAAAAAAATCCAACCAGTGGGACATGATGTTTTACATATTGTACATGGTCCACTTATATATTATGATACGTATTGACACGTATGATTATATTATAACGAAATTAACTAATACAATATTCCCAACAGCAGTGCTTGTTGGGTTTCAATCTGTGGGTCTGGGGCTGGTGCATCACGGATGCAAGACACCCAAAACCAGAACGGAACAACAGAACCCTGGAAGATCCTGGAAGAACCCTTGCCACTGTTGGGTCGCAAAATTGGTTGAATATGTTATGCACAGGCGTGTTAATATATTATATTTTAATAATTATTATGGACTCATGCAGTGTAATATAAATGTTTATGTAATTATAAATATAAATGTATATATGATTAAGTATATTTCATGATTTTATGTATAATTATATATATATA